ATAGTATATATATATATATATATATATATATATATATATTAGTTTCATTATAAAATTTTTTATAGATTTTTAATAATGTTTTATTTAAAAATTACTGAATAATATTTTCTTTGTAATTTTTAGATTATAAAAGTAAGTTTTTTACATGAAGAAATTAATATTTATTATTTAACTGTCATATAAAAATCAAATTTGCATTGCTTAAATAACTTTGAAAATTAAAATTTATTTATTAATAATAGAAATATAAAAACTATTGTCAATTTTTAATTTTACTTAAAAGATAAAAAATGATAAATATCTCATGTAAAATAAATAATTACAAAATATATAAATTAATTACAAAACATCTATATCATTCTTTCATTAGAAACATTAAAAAATTAGAAAAATTTATTATTGCTTGTACAATAATTTTTATCTGAATTTGTTTTAGAAAATGAACAGGAATTTGTGATATTTAAAAAAACATTATATATTATAAATATGATCAAACTTGGAATATAAATATTATATATAAAAATAATAACAATAATTTATATTTTTCAATAAAAACTTGAAATTTAAAAATTGCATTTCTCTAATGTCTCTATCTTTTAATAGAAAAATAAAAAGCAAAGTAAAAATAATTACCTTAATTACCTTAAAATTAATTCGCATGGTGGATGATCCCCTTAATCTTGAAAAAAATTCTGATTATATAGAAAACGAATATTTAAAATAAAAAAATAAAAATAAAAAACTACTAATGCATCCGTTTACATCATATGATCACCGAACAAACACTGATTCTAATTTTGTGTATGATTATTGTAATTAAATTCACTTCACAAAGCTATTGAATTCTAAAAAAAACAAAAAATACTTTTGCGAAATAAATACTGATTCTACAGATCACATTGCACGTGATCATAATGATCTGAAAATAAAATTTCATTAATGGGGAGAAGAAAGTTGTTAAAGAAAATAAAATGTTTTCATATGGAGCATTTCTTAAGAAAGACATTATATTACAATATATACATATTATTTTTAAAAAAAATTACGTTTTGAATGTTCATTATTAAAATTAATAACACGTCATTTATTAGAAATATTCGAAAATATTTGCAAATTTTTATATAAAATTTACTATCAACAATTTAGCATATCACGAATTATTTCGAAATTTTTTTTTATCATCATTTTCATATTTTCAAATAATCAACATAATAATTATGAATTATATATATACTTACATTTTTCTTCGAAATTAAAATATTACCATTTCTTCATAAAATATAAATGTCATCATGGCGTCCATATTGATACTTTTTCCCGCCTAAAGTGATCTCAGCAATCGATTTATCCGAGCAAAAGAAAAAAAAAATCAAATTTTTTAAATAAATATATAATGTATATAAGATTAAATTAATAAATAAAAATAAAGCAATAATCTATCGAATTTTATTTTAAAAGCTCATAATATGAGTTAATATAAGTTAATTATACCGATCCAATAGACGAATAAAAAATAAAATAAATTATTCTTCAAATAATTATGAACTATATTAATATTTAATATATAATTGAACAAATGCAACATAACAATAATACAACAATAATATAATATAACAAAATAGTATAAAAGAATAACTATGAAATATATATTACGCAATAAATTATTCACACTCGAAACAAAACGTCTAACGAGTACGAGTTTCGACAACAAAATGATACGGTGTACCTACGGTGTCGATGTATCGAATTACAAAATAGAGAGGGGATACGTTCAACAATTCGACAAGTTGAAACATGTCGAGCGGTTTCTCAAACGTAAACAGTCAATTTTTGTGGAAAGACAATTATAAGAAATGTTTTCTTGCAATTTTGAATATACGATCAAAACAAAAATAAGAATAATACGACTTGAATATCCAAATGATCACATTTAAGAAAAAAATATATGAAAATATATGTATGAAATATATATGGAATATATTAAATGTAAATTAATTATAATGATCTATTATATATAATTATAATGAAACTACTTCCTATTCTATGCGAATAAAAAAACAAAAGAAATTTATAATAATTATTTTTATTTTAATGAAGAAAATCTTACCATTTGCATAAAAGTTATCGAGTTTTCTTAATTAGTATGGTATATGCAAAAATTATTGCTATACTTTCAAAGCCATCCCACCAACGAAGTTGCAATCAAATGATAATCTGTAGCAAAAAACATTCAATTTAAGTATGATAATGATGAAGTAAACATATATTAATTAAACAAAGCATAATAATAATATATAATTAAACTTTAGAATCGTAATATGATATTATATTAATAAAAATTTTACGTAATTATACATCTGCCGGCGAAACGAAACCTGTCACTATGATTTTCAACTATAGACTAATGAAATGCGCAATATGATGCGCACTGATTCATATTGCCGCTAGATCTTAGCATCTTTTTGATTGGCTGAAATATGATTCTCATTTATTGCAGCCGCGCGAAAATTGAAATATAATATATTATATTTTAATTTTAGATTTCTGTATATCAAGTTTTCATAAAAATATCTATTAAAAGTATAATAGAAATAGATTATTATAATTAATTTAATATAAAAATTATTCAAAAATTATTAAAGAAAGTTTAAATATAAGATTGAACATTTAAAATAAAAATTATTTGTAAGTCTGAAACAATAAATTACATCTGAATATAAAATATTAAATTTTTGAAAAGTTACATAATAAAAAATATTTATTTTATAGTTTTTTTTCTTTTAGGCGAATTTATATCAATAAAAATAAGAAGTATAGTTATATAAAAATTTTATTTATAGAATATTTAAAAAATAAAAAAATATGTATAATTTTATATATATTATACATATAATATATATAATACATATGTATTTATATTGGTTTCATTATATAATAACATTTTTCTAAATTTTTAATAATATCTTACTTAAGAATTGTTAAATGATATTTTTCTTCTTTATGTATTATAATTTATAATTTATGTATTATAAATGTAGTTTTTTCTATTGATGATTGCAAAGATGATTATTTATTTATTATTTCATAACTTTTTTGAATAAAGAATCAAAATCAATATTATTACATTAAGAATAATATTTTGAAAATAATTTATATACTAAAAAAGCAATAAAATTGAAAATGATTATGAATATTATGCTCAAAATGATTAATAAATTATTAATTAATTATTAATAATTAATTATTTAAATTATGTATATGTGATAATAATGATTGAATTTAGTTTTTATTTCGTTATTATAAATTGTTTTTATCTATTTTTTATATAGTTTTTATAATAAAATTAGATTTTAATTTCAATTAATTATTAAAACTAAAATTGTTTTTTATATTAAACCGATGTCACATCTGATACGAAAATAATAAAAAAGGTTAGGTGATTCTTGAATTCCTAAGAAAAAGCATTGCATATCACATCTATTTTGTATCTTGTCTATGGTAAAACATGGACGTGGACACAGCGAGTGATAATACCTCTATTGATGACAAGATAGATGATTTTTGTGAAAATCCAACGAGAGATGCTTTGACAGAAGGTCTTATGAGTCTTCTGAAACCTACAGTGGATCAGTTAGATGAAAGAATTCGTGCCACGAGGTATGCAACTTTTATTTTTTGTATGTGCAATGTGTGAGAATAAACGTAAATATTCATAATATTATTGATATGATATCAAATCTTTTTCGAATAAAGCATTTAAAAATTAAGCATTTAAAAAATTTGAAACATTATTATGTCAATGATGATTATTCATTAATTTTCATAGGATATGTCAAATAGAATTAAAGCAAAGAATTGAATCATTGACAGAAGAATTACAAAGAATCAATGAAGCATTGCAATGCCCATTGGAAACTGATTCATATGTTAAAAAGTTAATTAATGCTAAACACAAAATTACTATTGTCAGTAACATTTTACAAAGTACACAAGAGCGATTAAATAAAATTCATCAAGCAGTGGAGAAGAACACAGCAAAGAGGAAAGCTTTATTGGATCATAGTTCTTCATATGGAAATACCTCTAATATTTTAAATAAAGAAGAACAAGTGGAAATAGAACAAGAAACTAATATTTCTAAAGAACATGAATGAATCATAATTATGATAAGTATAAGTTAATTGTGATATGTCTTATTAGTTTGATATTTAATCTAGAGTTATTTAAGAAAGAAAAAATTATATAAAAATTCTTATAACAATCTATTTTCCATTAATATATCATGAATACACCGATAGTTAAATTATCGGATAAAGATTTGGAATCAGTTTATGAACCATCAGAGGATTCCTTCCTCTTGATAGATGCCTTAGAAGCTGATTTAGAGGTCCTAAAAGTTACAAAACCTGTGATGTGTTTAGAGATAGGTAGTGGATCTGGTATTGTAATTACAGCATTGGCAATGGCATTGAAAATTTACTGCCAATCCTACTATCTTGCAATTGACATTAATATCAATGCGTGTAAAGTTACAAAAAAGACTGCTGCGCAAAATTTGGTAGAAATAGATACTGTACAAATGGATTTATTAAGTTTCTTACGTAGTGATTGTGTTTTCGATATCATAGTATTTAATCCACCATATGTGGTGACCAATGATGATGAAATTTTGAATAGGCAGATATTATTTAAAAGTTGGGCAGGTGGTAAAAGTGGTAGAAAGGTTATGGAACGAGTATTTCCTAAAATTCCTGATATTCTATCGGATACAGGGACATTTTATCTATTGGTTATTAAAGAAAATGATCCTGAATACATTTTACGTACATTTATGAATTTAAACATGTCAGGCAAAATAATATTAGAAAGAAAAATAAGGGGAGAACATTTGTATATATTACGTTTTAAAAAAATAAAGTAAAATGTCTTCGTCATATATATGTTTTTGTGTGTAATTAATTAAGAAATTTTAGTAAAAATTTTGCTATTTCTTTATTTTTCAAATTTTTACTATTTTACATTTTATTTGTATATATATTTTATTCGTCATATTTCATCCTATACAATTTTATTCTTAATCGTGAAACTTGTACTCATCAACGATTATCTCTAATGAAAAAAAAATGTCAGTCTAGTAAAGTATCTAATTAAACATCGTATTTTTCGCAATATATACGGCTATCAAATACTGCTATTGGTAGACAACAGAGATATTCGAATGATATAAGAAGTATCTAATAATAAAATCTATTATCGCTTCATATCTAAAAGAAAAAAAATTCATTAAAACACAAAAGTTGAACATTACGTACATCGGTATAGGAAATATGGCTATAGAATTAACGATATTATCGATATTCGCGATGAAATAACGAAAATGCATGAATGCCTGATGTATCGTTAAAATGGCAAGTAATTAATTTGTTGCGATCCTAAAATATTTTTCATATCTTTCGCATCGTTTCCTATTTTTACAATTCGTCGTCATTCGCTCGATTATCGAGGTATTAAGATGAAACGAAAATGAAACATAATACGAAATATAAACATAGATAAAAATCTGATAGCTTATAATGAAAAATCGATTATCACCGTAACATTTGTCTATCACCCGTGATCATTCTCGAGAGCAAGTCAAATTTCTACGAATAAATAGCTTTCGATCCGTATATTCGTTGTAACTTGACGTAAAGCGTAACTGCACTAATGGTAGTCACAAGAATAGTAGTTAAGAAGAACGATATAGCAGTGTAAAAACCACTGTGTGTCATGCAAACGTTAATTGAATTTCTCGCTACTTCTTCGATAGCAGTTTCTTCGAGTTGTTCCAAGACTTGATTGCTAGCTTTGCTTAAGTCGTCCACCATGATTACTCTGAAGCCACGACCGATACGTATGGAATCAGATAGTAACACAGCTGTACCGTTAGATGTCGTATTCGACGGTGTATAAATTATCGAACGTCGCCGTCTACCCGGTTCAATTTGCTGGAAAGGTTATAAATACAATGTTTTTTTACAATAAATTCGAATTTAACATTAAATTAATTAATTGTAATAAAAAATTATAATAATTTTATAATACTTTATATAATTAAATATCACAGGAATACCTGATTCATTTCTGGACAAGGCTCGCAATCGGTTTTACACAATTCCACATTGCATTCGATGAATAGATCCATCACATCGGGGAATTTGAAAGCTTGGAAGTAAGCGTAAGCAATAATCGATGCTCCTGTATTTCCGGTATCATTTGTCTTTTGGAACGCACCGAATAATTTTGGTTTCAATATACAACCTCTTTCGTCCGTTAATTGTAGCGTATTGGTCGAAGATTCGTCACGAGCAATACAATCGTGTACCTTGAAATTTGCAAATTTTCGTTAAGAAAAGCTATGTGTATATTTCTTTTTTTATTTATTTTTATATTTATATATTTATTTATTATTTTTTTTAATAAGAAAAAAATGAAGACAAAATTAAAAGTTTATTAAAATTAATATAAAAAAATATTGTTACCTGAAGATCGAAGCCAGGATCCCCTTCTACGGATACAACTAAAGTCATGGTCTCTCCGATTTTAACGAGTCCATCGGCAGCAGGTGCAAATGGTCCTCGTCCCACTTGTATATCCAATTTAGCGGTTGCTGTGTCACCGCTGAACGTCACTATTTCCTGATTCAACATATCCACTGAGAAGTTCACCGTCAAGGCCTTATTGATGTTCCCTTCCCACAGACAACGAACTCTTTGCACTGTATCCCAAACCTCCTGTATTCCTGGTTCGTTCTAAACAGAGAGGAGAAAGAAAGATATTCTCAAGAAAGTTCTCAAGTGATTCAAATTTTATCGAAATTGTGCGAAGTTTGAAATGAAGTTTTACCTGCAAAACTAGAACATTTTCAAGATACGCCTGACCAGCTTCACCCGCGAAATCGTTGATGAATTGAGTACCGCAAGAATCCAAACTGACTGTGAACGAATATTTCGTCTGTCCAGAATTTTGCTCGACATATCTACATTCTGGATTCGTGTAAAATCCCTGAGAATATATATAAATGATGAGTATAAAGTGAGTATATGACAATCCAAAATATCATATTCCTTACTTACTTTCGAATAAATAACACCATCGAAAGCGCGATTGAACTCGATGTTGATAGTCATCATAGTCTTACTGCACTCCACATCGAGGGAATGAATGTGTGGAGGATGTTTTAAATCATCATCTTCCGTCGCACCTCCACCTGTCGTCATTCCAGAACCGCTTGTTCCTACAATGACGAATAAAATATTGAACGATCTCTTTGTGATTTGCTTTGTCATCAAATATAATCTATCTAGTTTTGAAAAGAGAAAGCAATCGAAAACATAGTACCTTGTCCGGTAGGACCACTGGGTGGTCTGCTTGATGGTCTAGTAGTTCCACCGCCATTCTGAGGAGGGAATGCCCCACCAGGAGTAGAAGAAGGAGGGAATCCCGGTGAGGAAGGATATCCACCTTGGTCGTATGAATATCCATTGGACGAAGGATATCCAGCAGAAGGCTGTCTATAAGTAGATGCTTCTATGTACGTAGGACTTGGTCTCTGAGTCGAGTAACCGTAAGTAGTGGAGAAACCGGATGGTGTGGAAGTAGCAGGAAAGTTAGATGTCGTGTAACCATAATTTTTTGAGACTCCACCGGAAGCTGAATAGCCAGGTGCTTGAATGGTGGATGTTGAACTGTATGGTGGAAAAGCGGAGGAACCAATGTTCGAGTAGGAAGGTGTCTCGCTAGGACGAGGATTGTAAGATGATGGTACGTATGGTTGATTGCTTGGCGGGAGATACGTTTGTTTTTGAGTGGAGAACGGTGGTTGTTGTGTAGTTGGTTGACCAGATGGCCGGTAAGGATAATTTGTCACTGGAGCAGGAGTTGTGTAGGTTGGTGGCTGGATGGTCGAAGGCGTTTGAAATGGTCGAGGTCTTTCCAATGGTCTTTGGGTGCTATACGGTGGTAGATATCCTGGAGGATCCGACTGTTGACGAGCTGCAAGAGGAACAATTTTAGATTACGAGATATCGCCATTTATGATAATTACGAATCGTGTAGCTTGATATTGTTTACAATTTTAATAAAATGATTTTTCATTCATTCTTACAGATGCATCTTACAAGTTTTTTACAAGTTAAAGCCACGCTTGTTATTCGAAAATTTAATCAAATTGTCTATATAAGATGTGCAATTTACTGTAACATTCTATGAACGATATGCAGTAGTAGAAAATTGCTACTAAGCGTGCGTGTTCTCGTTAAAGTTTGGTTAATTGCATTTTAATAATGGTTATTGTTTCTAATTTAATCCGTGGAAATGTCTTTTGAGCATGAGCCACTGATCGTTGAAATATCAGGGTGCCAGTTTCTATTTAAATAGAGATTTTAATCTCTTCAGCACATCTCTCATGTACATATGTTTTTAAAATTAATGACTATGATGACACGTTAATAGCGTTACGTGGCTATTAAATGTTAATATGCTTATTATTTATTTATATTATTTCTCCATTTCTTCAATTAATTATTATTTCTATTGTATCACGTTTCAAATTATCATTATATTTCCTTGGAATATTTTTCTTCGGTGAATTTCTAGGTTTTATTATCTTACAAATATTTGTAATTAAAAGTAATGATTTATAATATGTGCATTAGAGAACTGAAGAGATCAAAAGAGGAGATAAAAAGAATAAAAATCTAGAATTGTTTTATAATGTTTCCTCCTTTAATTTCTAGGGTATATCTCGAGAGGAGTTGATCCTTCTGGAGAACGTACGTTTACGTGCACCCTGCCGGTAGATCCCTTGAATCCACTCTAGGATATTTTGCGCCATCACATCTGCAGCCGATACCGGAGCAGCTCGCTGGACTCTCGAGTGCGCTAATGGATTTCAAACGATTGCTTTGATCAAATTCGCTAAGTCTTTATCCTACGTTATCGCTTTCTCTCCTCCACAATCGATCGTAGTCGAGTAAACTCGGCGAGTCGACTCGTATCTCGCTTACCATCTCCGGATGGCGATGTTCTGACGAACAAAGCATGTCCTCCTCCGTATTCTTGACCCAGAGACACGGCCAGACCAGCTGCGATCAGGAATGTTATGATCTCCTTCATCCTCTTTATCTGTAACTATACCATTTCTCTTTTTCTCTCTCTCTCTCTCTCTTTTTATTATATTTTATGTTTTATGATGATAAAAATATTCTATTTAACGATTTTTTTACTTTTCACAAGATACGTTGAGATATTCAAAATCTTTTATATTTTAAACAGAGTCGGGGAGTTTTAGAATCAGATCCAATGTAATCTTCTGAACAAAAAAAGGATAAAACTTTAGATTTTCCTTGGATGTTTTGAAATGCTAAACTAAAATGCTAAATGAGATATTTTGATTATAATGGACAGAATTGGATGAGAATCATAATGATGTAAGTTGCATAAAATATTTTGAGAAATATTTATATTTGTAAATTGATATTTTAAAAGAGAGAAATTTTCTGTGTAAAATAATATGAAACTGTAGCATAGTCTCATTTTCTTTTAATTACGATTTTTAACACTTCAATTAACATTCAATTAAGAATATTTTAGGATGTGAATAATTGAAAATAAATTATTCTCGAAAATTATTTTCAGCAATATTTTTTATAAAAGAATATTCCGTTGACTGGTTCCATTACAATTAGCTACTCACTCTTAAAAAAATCCAAATCAAATCAAAACCATTTGAGCGCGAAAATTACATTTGAGAGTAAAACTCTCTCATTTGCTTTCAAGAATATTTCCTGTATAAAAGTATATTTGTTGACCGTTCACTAATAAAGTAACTTAACGGTAATAAAAATTACTGTCACTCAGTGATTCTCAACGGAGTGTTCACCTGTGAGAAATATTTTCGAAAGAGAAAAAAAGAGAAAATTTTATTTTTAAACATATTCGCAATCCATTTAAAAACATAAAAACTCTTCTGGCCAATCTTCAAAACTTATTTTTCATAAATGAAAATACTGAATGAAATACAATAATCATTCTCAAATACAATTATTCATAAAAAAGTTTATTAGAATCATTAGAAAATGTACACTATTAGAAAAATTTCATTTCATAAGATTACGTATCCAATTAATAACGATCGATGTCGTTGGTGAAAACGCGGAACCTTGCATTTTTCTCGCGCGCCTATTTCAAGGCTGTGAACCCGTTCTTTGTGAGTAAAAAGGAAAAAGAAAAAACAATGGAAACCGACGATTACTCTATTTAATTGGAGCCTCAACGCCAGCCAGAGGTGAATAATCGAAGATCGAAATTTATAAATATATATTGCGGAAACTGGACGAGATATAAAATCTTCGAACGATTCGAATCGTCTCATCTCTTTCGTTTCGTCATAATTTCGACAGAAATCTTAACGAGAGTATCTCGAAGAAATACAATCGCTAAATACATAATTTTCTGGTCCCGAGAAAGGCCGTTTCCATGATTGTCTCGTTTCTTCTCACGTACGTCGGTGTTAGAACGTTTCGTCATATCGGGATTACGAGAGGATCCGTAATCCTCTGCCCTCTTATCTCGGTAATTCGGAGACTGCGGTCGAAAAGGGGCGATGCACAACTCGATTCGCGACTAATTAACATCTTTTGGCGGAGAGAAGAACTTTCCGTTTCACGGGGAGAATAAAAATGGCGATCCTTCGATTTTTTTTTGATCTGGCTCTCTCTTTCTTAAGCTTTCACGCTATTTATATCTAGATACGTACAATGCAACGTTGTACCAAGTTTACTACTGGTAGTAAAAAGTTGGAAGGTTTGTTCTTTTTCTCTCTCCCCCTATTTTTTCTCCTTCGTGTTTTTGCTTGATTGAGAATCCAACGCGAGGGAGAAAGTAAGCATGTTTGCTCAGTTGCAAATTATTTGCGTAGGAGTAGCGTGAACCGTCAATCTTTAACCGTGTTAGCACGAAATGCCTTTGCATTCGCGTGACGATTGTTTGCCATTGGGAAGAAGAGATGTATATTTAACTTTGGTCTGTTATTTTCGTAATACTTGTAATACAGAAGAACTTCATTTATACAGGGTGTTAATTTATTTCAATGGGATACTTTTGAAGGGGCGATTTTAGAAATCGAAATAAACACGAAAGTTGGAATATAAATATGGTTGAAGTTTTTATTGTGGTATTTATTGAACGGTAAAAATAATAATAATAATATTATAAGAATTAATTCAATAATTGGCCTTCAACCGATATTTTTGTACACCAACTTTTGTCTTATAATTTTCTATTTATAAAATAAATGAAGAAGCTAATAGTAAAAGTGTTCTAATAATAAATCCACATGAATTTCTATAAAAAGAAATATTTATATTTATATGATTATTACTTTAAAAATATCCCATATTTTTATAGCACTCCATTTATATTTATAAGAAACGTTTTCTGATATTGAGAAGATATTATTTCTATTATAAAGATACGAGTTTTTAATATTTCTAATTGACAATGTATTTAATATGTAAATGTTAAAAGACAAGCAATTATGTAATCAAGTCATTCATCAAGTCATATGATGTAATCAAATTGTTTATGCGTATAATTGAAGTTCACTGATTTCTCTTACTATTTATGAGTTAGATAAGTGGATTTATTTTTTTGAGTTATGTAATGTTAAGTTATTGCGTTACATTTTTATTTTTATTTTGATAGAATAATATAATTGAAGATTACAAAAGAATTTAATAAGTTCATTTTTCTGTTTTTTAGATTATTTAATAGATAAGGAGGATGTTTTAAAGAAGTGGAAAACTTAACAAGTTTTAAGTTTAAATAACTTGACAAATTTCATTTTAACAAAATGTCTCAATGTCGGAGTTCTATCTTTTTGAAATTTTTACTATTACATTCTTGCAAAATAGAGGTGATATTTAAAAATCTGATATTTTCATACAATCATCAGATCACTTATTCTACATATTATAAAACAATAATATAATATCCATAATATAATTAATTTATAATTTGATAATTTCTTATTATTATTAGGTAATCAATTTTATGGAATAACTCAAGATACTTAAAGAAACAAACTCTTCAAAAATTACTAGAAAAACTGAATATTCATAACATCAATAAAAAAAAAAATAAATAAAAACCAAATTGTATATTCAGATCATATACAATACAACAATTTAATTTCTTCAGAAGTATATTTTATAATAAAACATCAAAGTCACAGTCACAATACTTTCAAAGCAATGATTGCCATGTAAAGAAAATAAAATATTATCAGTTTTACTATTAAAAAATTCTGTAATGTTTTTTAACAGATTTTAATTTTTTTAATAATTTTAATTAAGAAAAAAAAACTAAAACGTGTGTATATATATATATATGCATATTTCTAAACAGGTTAAGAATTTTGAAATTTCAAAAAAAAGAAAAGAGGAAAAATCGATACAGTTGGTGACTCGAAAGGGTAAAAAGAGTATGGTGTTAAGGACACCGAGGAGAAGAAGGAAGTTGCAACAAAGGGAAACTCCCAGCATTGTCGCTTTCGACGAAGATGAAGTTACGAATGCTTGGCTAGATCCTTGGATACTTTCCACCATCGGTATCTCGATTTACCGATGGCTGGTCGACGGTGAAACCGAATCGTGACATGCTCATGGCGCTGATAGTGTTCTGACCTAGCGATTCTTCCTGTAGAAATATCCATGGCAACATTCCTCGTCCCTCTGTCGGGCAAAGAGTTCGAGAAGTCAACCGGCGAATCGTGCTTCACCGAGGTGAAAGGTGAAAGTCGATTAATGCTTTTGCATAGTATGCGCATCAAGGCTGCTATTTCTTTTCCCTTTCTTTTGATCAATGGAAACGATTTTCAAGATTTTATCCCCAATTTGGATTTATTATTCATTTATTTGTCTAATATAAGATATATCTTTTGGTGTCAATGCAGCATGAACGAACATTTTTTCATTTCTCTATTTTTTATATTAGGAAATAAATTCAATCATATTCTGAATAAAAATGTTGGTTACAGTGTGATATTATGAATTGCAAAAATTCAGATTGTTGTATTCATAAAAGTTCCAGTAGAAGAAAGAAAAGTTTGAAAAGATTGTTGTTAATGTATTCGATAGTTTTTGAGATATCTTAGAATTCTAAAGGCAAAAATGAATAAGAAGACACGAACTAATTAATCAGTTCATCAATTTATTAAGTTATAAGCAATTCAAATTTCAAGCGAGACAAAGATAAATTTCATCTTATCTATAAATGTAAATTGCTTATATAATATATTTTCTTAAAATGGATAAGAAAATTATATTGAAGTACCGTAAAATTAAATCAGATTGACATGTGAAATTATAATATTTCATTACATCTAATTATAAAATGTATTTTCTATGCAATTCTATCTATCTAAAAATATCTATGTTTTTCATAAAATTATTTACATATAATCTACTAATTGTAATTTGATTTTTTTTTAGATCTGTGGAATAATTTAAAAAAACTAATTATTCTTAAGAGGCTATATAAAATATTAAATTTGATAACAAATGATAACAAATGGGCTTTAAAAAACTAAAGTTTAAAATAAGATCTGCAATTATTTTACCCAAATTGTTTGCATACTTAAAGTATTAAAGTAGTGATATATAAATTAAAATATAGTTATATTTGTCACTATATAATATTAAAATACAATTCATGTGGAAAAAATTGAACGACATTAAGATAGCTTTAATTTAATAAGTCATTAAATAATGAGATAAGAATTTTTATGCATAATAATGAAATTATTATTATATAATGATCGATTATAAATTTTAAATATTAAATTATGGATGATATATTATTAAATATCATTGGCAACAAGATATATAAATTGAAGATAAATCGAGAACGATTTTAGAGACGATTTTAAATTGGATTATATATGATACAATTTATTGATTTGTACGTAAAACTATACTATATAAGACGAAATTATTAAAAAGAAAAAATAGAAGAGAAATATATATATATATATATATCTATATATAATAATCAAATGCCTGGGAATGTTCCAGTTTGCAAATATGAATTTAGAAATTAATGAAGTGCATTGCACAAATAGGACTGCGATTAAATTAAAGTGGAGCGTGATTTTCTGGCTGATTCATCATCATAAGTGAGTACAATAGACAGAAAAAAAACTTCAAATGTTCTATGTTGTATTCCATACAAAATTTGACTAGTTAATTAATAATTCTATCTCGATGTTGCTCGTTATTGTTAATTATTTATCTTTTTTTTTTTTTTTGGTAAAATATTCAACGTTTCAACAACAGTATTTTTATCAGTTATCAAAGTAACCATAGTTTTCATTAACAGTGATTGACATCAGGAAGAAAAAAAGAAAAAAAGAAAAAGAAAAAAAGTGAAGAATTCTAGAGAAAGTTTGTGCCGATATATTAATCGAGAATTCGATTAATGGATCTCATTGTCAGATACAGATGGGCAGAGTTTATTTCCTGTGTCTTCCCCGGAAGAATATTTCGGAGATTTATGAGTGGCTTCCCTGAGACTTCTTTTATGTCACACTTATTATCGGGTTAATGGGATATTTTATCGTCCTTTCTCTTTTAACGCGTAAACTTAATTCCTTACGATCGTGAAAGATTGAAAATTGACGAGGACTCGTTTAATGTTTACGAGCATATCCTGACCTCGTGGAAATTATTGTGGGAAAAAAATATTGATCATTCAAAAAATCTTCATACGTTTTTTAAATTTGTTAAATTAATCGTAAAAAAAATTATATTATCAAAAATAATAATAATTCTGTTTTATATGAAACATGAATGAGTATATAGAGTATATAGATATATAGTAGTATATATTTTTTGATAATGTTCTTAATCATATTTTGAATATTTTTGTGCTTTTTTTAATATGATAACATTGAAGAATCAGATCTAATTTATTTTTCCTAACAATGAAGGTGCAAAGAAAATTATAATAATATATTTTCTCAGACTTATATTATTTTCAAAATGATAAATAACTAAAGAGAAATAGTGTTTAATTTTAAATATTTTTAATTGCTTTTCAAAATATTTAAATTGCTCTGTGATTAAGAAACATTAATATAAAACATGAATTAATGAATTATGTAGAATAACAATATATATATTCGTAGGATATTTTGAAGAATCGATTATAGAGATAAAACAAATACAAATTTCAATTAAGGCTTATATAATTTTATAAACAATAAACTTAAACAGAGTTTCTCTATACTAATTTTTGTTTTTATTTTTAGAATTGATCCTTCAAATATTTCATGAATATATTTGTACATGGAACAATCTTTTTATTAGCATAAGTAAATTTATATTTGCTTAAATGAAATCTTTTATTATAACTATATTAAATAGTTTTATGATTCACTTGAATATATTATCTTAACTTTATAATAATAAGATAGAGTAAAATTTTTGATCATAAAATATATTTTTAATGCTTTATAATACAAAATTAAAAATAATAAAAAATATTCTTAAACAAAATTGTATTAAAAAATGAGAAAATGATAGAAATTGCTCGTAAGACAATCGATAAATTAATAATTAATTCATTTAATTTGTAATGATACCAATATATAATATAAATAGAAGTAACTGAAGAATATAATAAAACTTCTCAATAAAAATCTACTTAGTTTTGTTTTAACGATATTATATCAAAATGATATCGATAATCACAATTCTAATCTGTACTATTATCAATAGACTCAATATTGATCTTAATTCTAAATCACGATGTATTAAATACATATTTTTTTGAATACTGAATATTTCCACAAGATTGAAAGAATAGGAATAAAACACAATGATAAATGTGTAAGAAAAATAGAGATAACATTTAATTTTTCTCTAATTTTTTGATTCGAAATGGAGACAGGTTAATGTCGAGAGACTTAACATAATTTTCGCAGAAAATTCGCGAAATTTAAATCGTTTGGCTGGCTAAAGTAGTCATTTGTGGGAAGGAGGATTGAGCAAGTGTAACGTGCACTTGAGATGCTGCGGTTTTACGTTTAACGTTTCTTTTCGACTAGATGCGGCATCTTAATAATAAGAATACTTGTTCATTATTTAAATTTCGTAATAAGCAACACGTTAAATGATGGCTTCACAATGTGAAACATTTCTTAACTATGTTGATTTGTAAGATGAAATTCGATTATGTCAAGGCGAGTCTGTCTCACATTTCTTGCATATTTTTTTATGATTATCAAATCATATTTGAAGGCTTGTTATTTTTGCATTTATTTTTCTCCGAAAGAAAAATATTTGAATGTTTCCTTTTTTCCATTTGAAGAGAAAACAAATATCAATCGTAATTTTGCTTTTTTATGGTTCACATAATCTCGTTTTTTATAATATATTGAAAATTCTTCGATTCTAAAGAAAATTAAAATAAAAATTATAGCTACAAAAATGTCGCTTGAGATTTATGTATTGATTTAATTATTTATTTATGTATTGACTAATTTAAATTCGTGTTTGACGAAGCGCTGTCTCATTCCATCCCTCGTTTATCCAATGTAAACTCTTTAGAGTTTGTTTTCTTGCTCAGTAATTCATCACGTGGACATTGCATTGAAAATGAAACTCTTTGAAAATATAATTTTCACCTATTTCTGTTAACGAGAAATAATTTTTGTATTTCAAAGCTGCAAATCCACTTTAAAATAAAACTCTCATAGAATTACTCTCAAGAATCATTTTAAGGATTAAAAAAGTTTACTGTCATGAATGATCATTCTCAACGTAGCATTCATTTTTTTAAAAAAAACTCGTACCCTTAGAAAAAGATACAACTAGAAAGAGTGAAAGCATGCTAGATGTTTTGACAATTAGATATCTATTTCTGTAACATGTTTTCTAAAAGTTATCAGGGATGAAAATTTCATCCTGTCGCGGTCACAGTGTGAATAGTGCTAACGAGGAAAGATGAAAGAAGAAAGGAGAAGATCGTTCATAGATGGTTGCGAGAGATCTTCTAGTGAAAACTAGCAGTTACGTCCTATAGGTCTGGGTTACGAGGACATCGATTGCCTTACGCGTCTCGTGAAACGTGGTGGTGCGATTGTGTGCATGCGCGCGCGCGCGCGTGCACAAATCGTTCCTCGTGGTTTCTACTTCGCAATGTCAGTTGTAGGCGGAGGTGGTCCCAAAAATCGGTAGATTAATATCGTGAAACGATTTGTAATCGATCTAATTTAATATAAGATAAATTAAAAATAAAATAAATAAAATAATTTATAATTATTCATTGATTAATAATGATTAAATTTCTCTAGAAATTTGCTTTATTATTCAAATATCATAACGTGTACTTTAAATATTCTTTTTTTGTAAATGTAATTTTGCATAAATGTATGCATATTTGCAGTTTAATAATGATTTATGTATGTATCGTTGTATAATGATAATGGAAAGTTTTAATGATTCATTTGGATCGATTTTTAATTTAATTTCAATATAATAAATCTAAAAGTTTTTTATACAGTGATAATGTCATTGGTCAATAATAGTGATGCTTTATTTCCGGACAAAGTTCTATGGTATGAATTAAAAAGAGTACAAATATAGCATAATTCGGAATGTTAACAGAGAATTGTGAAAGAGATTATTTCATCAAAAAAATCCATATTTTGACAATGGTTACTCACAAATAGACATAACCTATAAAAGAATAATGAAATAATCGATACCGATTAAAAAAATTGCACCTAAGATAAGATTATAAATATGTTTTTTGCAATTTTTGTAAAGAAGAAACAAAAAGATTTACTTTAAAACTTTATTTTTTCAAAAAATATTTCAAGCATTTCTTTAAAAGATAATAGAACCTGTTTCTCGATCGATTATTTTCTCGATAAATTGCAACAACATTCTCTAATCTAATCGAGTGTCGTAATTCGAAGATTATCTGCGACATTCAGAGGGAACTCTGCTGTCCCACGTTTGGCAATGTCCTAATGGTCAAACAGTTGAATTGTCGAGGTATTGCCGACCAATTAGATACATTTTTATAAATGAATTTATTACGAAACTGAATCTAAGAGTGTAATACCGATTGGCTGATTCTTAAAACCTGGTTTCTCGAAGATACGATATGAAAGAATTCGAAGAGTGAAATTGTTAGAAAAAAGCAATCGAGAATAATTAATTGAGCTTCTACGATCGATGGATACGGTAAGGAAGATTGATTTTTACTAAAAAGAAGCGAGAAATCGGCCTCCTTGCGACCTTCGCAATGGAGAAAGCAGAGAAGATTCAATTCGCCAAAAGCATTCGGCAACGACGTTAGAAGACGTTTCCCTTGTTTCGTCGTGATTAAATAAAATTACACGCCTAATTACGGTGATATTTCGAAAGAACTTACTTCTTCCTCCCTTTTCGAATCATTTCTCGTTTTGTTTTTTGGAAAAACTTTCCCTTTCGTCGTTCTCGATGATACGATGATACGACTTTCTCTATGGACACGACGTTTTAAAGGATTTTTGCTGCGGGCAAGGAATAATGTTTAAACGAAGATTGCAACATCGACGAAATTACGTAATTTTATTGAACAGAGAACGGTGCAAACAAATATTTCTTCAATCTATTACTCTTAGTGGAGGATGTCAGAGGTCGCGGAATACGAATAACAATCAAGGCATGCGTGTAATAGCGCGAGTGTGACGCGCATGCGCACGCGCATGCTTTTTACGCCAAAGCGCGGTTTTCTTTAAATTTAAATTTGGTGCGAGCGAACAGAGCTTTGATTTGAAATTATCAGATAATATTAAAATATTCTATCCAACATTTTTTTATTTTTAAATAAGAATACAAATTTTAATTTTTTTCGTATATTTCAACGTATTAAATAAGATATTATAACTAAGATAGATAGAATTAAAAATTTCCACAATATAACACAGTTATTGTTGAAATTTATGATGTAAACTTTTTCAAAATTCTAATATTTCGTAAGATATTCGTTAGATATCAAAAGACACGTCAAAATTTTTATTCCGAAAGAACACGTCTTAGAAAATTTCAGCAATAATTTTTCAGTTAATTCTGAGTACCACTGAACTAACGATTAGCATAGAAACGTTGTATATACACACACACACACACACACGCGTATAAAATATATGCACATCGCGCGCTTTCTTCTGGATGCGGTGACCAAAATGAACCGGCTCCGTTTTGTCTCTCCTATCCTATACTTTCGCTCCCACTCTTACTCTCACTTATATTCTCACTCTCGCGCTCGTATTCTCACGCTTACTCATCCTTATCCAACTATTTAACCAATCGTCACAATCGATCCCGCCTTCTTTCATTCTACAAACGTTACGTCT